TTTCTTGGTTGAATAACCAAAAATGGATCAATATATCTACGATACCTGCATTTAGAGTAACCGTGAATAAAGATTAAGTTACTAACATGATTTCCAACGTTCGTTAACAAATATAGCACTCGAAGAACATGTAAATTGTATTATGAAACATAAAATATTATTTCGTTATTGAGAGTGACTAATACGTAATAGAGAATGAATTGACTAATGGATTGTAAAGCAAACCAACCGTTATTATTTAATGTTTACGTTTTATAGTTTTTTGTTGTAATGAGTTTTGTTATAGTTTTCATTGTACGTTAATATTTACGAGTGTACCAATATATAATAATATTGGACAATGATATGTTATGATATTATTGGACATTTCAATACTTTTGAATTTTAACTCAATATTATGAATTTATTTTGGCGTATTTACAATGCTAGTTTATTTACGCATGTGATGCAATCATGTGACGCATGTAATACTGATTGCTCTTATATTATACAGGAATACAGGAGTCAAGGAACCATCTACAATATCATTTTCAAGTATCATATCGGAAGAATTATTTTATATTATATTGTTTTACTACTAACCCTCTCGATTCTCGTAATGGTGTGCAATTTTCTGTACAGTGAATAATGTAACGTTATTTAGAAAAAGTTCTTTAATTTTCTTCAGAAAATGTCACCATATTACATATACATATACATCAATATTCTATAGGTTTAATATTCAATATTATTTATTAATTATTCGTGTATAGATATTTCACCTTTCACGCGTGAATATTCAATATTATATACGTTTTTAAATTTTATCGAACTGCTTTTTAAGATTTATTGACTTAATTTAATACAGGCAGGTTATTATTTTTATTGTTTTCAAGTATCTACTTAATATAGTCTCTAAACTCAATTACCTACTCGACGTATAATCAATGCTTATTTTTCAACTACCACATACAGTGTATATATATATATTGTATACATACTGCGTAATATGAATTTAATTTTAATATAACCAATATCTATAAAGTGTCTCGTGCACTAAAAATTTGAAAGCTCGCTCCCCACCGGCAAAATGGCAGAACGTATTGCATGGTCTCAGTAACCTTTTTCTCTTCAGTTGAAATGTATGAGAGGTGATAATAGGTGTAGCGATTGATAAAGCGAAAAATATGTCCATACGATCCATTATCAGCCAAAAACAATAATAAAATATAACCTAACAGTATAGCCAGAAATATTTCTTATGTTTCACGAAACCAATCACAACATAACCATAGCATATTAATTATAGACAAGCGCAGCCTATCCGTCTATAATGGAAAAATTAGTTCCATTAATAAATATTTGGTCAATACGTTTTAAGGCTAAACACAAAGAGTCAAAAGTGACTGTACAAGCTAAAACCAGCAGAAAAAATATCTGCTACATTTTATTTTTAAAAAATGAACTCAAAGTTGCTTATCAAGTAGCTTATAATATAGGGTGACCAGACGTTTAAAACGGGATTGTGCCTTTTTTGATTATCACGTCCCGTTGTCCCGACAAACTTCGAATGGGACGCTTTTTATCCCGTTTTTAGAAGATTGTCTCGTTTTAATCCCGTTATTTTCATATTAGATAGCTGATAGTGTATACATTTTCTAATTCTTGTTAAAAAAATGTAAGAGTAATTATATGTAACAATACATTGTTTAATACTGTAATTGTAGTGTTAAAAATTAAATTTTTCTAATGGTTTAAAAAATTATAATAGTTTTGAAATGTAGTATTGTATTGTATACCAAATAAAATTCAAAAAACAAAAAAAATGATTATATCCACTGCTTTATATTTCAAATCATTTAAATTAATCTAAAACTTTTAGGAAACATTAAAACGAGAATACAAATAAAAAAAAAAACTAAAAATAAATATTTTAAATTGTTTAAAGTTACCTACTCTCAAAAAACAAATAGAAAACTTTAAAAAATACAAACAATTTTAATTTATTAAAAACCCATTAAATATACATGTTATATGCATTTATGAACAAATATGCTATAACCCTCGAAATATGCAAGATATGCAATATAAAATTTGGTGTTTAAATTCGGTGTGATATGAATCATTAACATTTTTAACCTCCATAGACGTGCATACACTTAGTACAAACATGCAAATGCATATAAATCCGAGCTCTAGTAATAAATATACTTATTTAGATATCATTATGTCAATATCTAATTATCATTACCATAGGCGTACACACGCGGCTGGCCGGGTGGGCCGCGGCCTCCCCTGCGGACTCTGGATTTTTCTTTAATAAATGTATATCTATACTATAAAAGAAAAACATTTTTACATTTTACATGAATAAAGTAAAGCCAATTTTAATCTTATAGTATAGAATTGATATCTGTGAATAAATGTAATAAAGTTATTAGTTATTAATCAGACTAATCAGAACTTGCATATAATATAAAAATTGAAGATGTAATTGATACATTCAAAAACCTTACACCCGTAGACAGAAGGATGGAATTGTAAATAGTATAATAATATGTAAATAAGGATTTTTTATATATAAATTGTATAAGTTTAAATAGTATTTATTTTTATATTTTCAAAATACTTTTATAATACGAGCATTAATACTATTTTATTTTAAGTTTTATTAAATTTAATATGAATCGCGTAAAAAAATATAAACGTTGAAATTTCAATGGAGGTGGTGGTTCTAACCTGAAATCCTCCCCCTTTGGGTACGCTTCTGATTTGACTAAAACAACATTTTTGATTATAGTTAAGATAACTATATTACATAGTTATAATAACCAATATACCACACCAAAATTGTAGTGTTTAATAATTATTAAACGGTTATTTTAACCACTTTTACATATATATTTCAATAATTTTAATTATTATAATAAAATAACGAAAAAGTTAATCGATAACCTAAAATAAACACTATATTCTATTTTTCTATTTCCCTATTAGTATCTAACATGTATATCACCCTTCTTTCAGAATCAATTTTTGATTCATCAATGATATATTTAATAGAATTGTAAAGTCTTTATTTTGAAAATAAATTTAATTTGAAAAGTAATTATACCTATGTAGTAATTACAATTACCTATACAGTAAAATATCCATGCAATCTATACATATTGAGATTATATTTTACAATAATTAAGTGGATAATATTTAAAATGTTTGTCTGTAATTAAATAGTTAAGATTTGTTAAAAGTACGAAGTAGTAGTTATATGTTATTAAAATAAACGCGAAAACATTTAATTAATACTATTATTTGTTATTTTTTCTCGAAAAGGTCAAAGAGTATCATTAGGTACCTATCAACAAAAAAAAAACCTATGACTAAAATTAAGTTATTCGTGTATTTTGTATTTAAAATGTAATTTAAAAATTAGTATTAATTAAAATTAATACGTGAATGACATATGTTTAATGGATATGTGTTAATGTACCTACGAGTACATAACATAAGTAAATTACATAGCTATCTAACAAAAAAATAAAAATTTTAAACCAACTGATAAATAAGTTAACGACTTCATAAATGTTCAATCGAGTTTTTTGAAATTTTATCATTATCACCAACAATTAATTTGTTTAAAAATAAATAATATTATCCGAATTTTAAACATGTATACCTATATAATATAGGTTGATAATGTATTTTATGCCGTACCTAAATAGTTTGGTGACATGTGGTGTTCAGATCATAAAACACAAATTATCAAGTATGTAACCAATACCCATGTTAGCCATGAAAGTAATACCTACAAAAATATTTTTATCATAATTTATTATCATATTTTTTATCTAAATGTTTTGTGCATAGAATATTATTTTTTATTGGTATTAATTTTTTCATTATTATCGCTTATTATTACAATACTTCTAAAAATCACTGTATCACATTACCTCTTATTGTTCGTTTAAGTTTTAACTAAAACCTAAAAAATTAAAACACAACTATGGTAATTTGTATAGGTGCCTAATCGGATCTTCTATTGATAATTTTTCCAAAAAGCTATAAAATTATGCTTATCATAATTTTAAATTATAATAAGTAGAAATCTATTCAATTAGAAAATATTGTTTATCGTTTAATTAAAAACGATAATGTAATTTTAACAGTGAATACAAATCTTATAGATACTATTTAATTGTTGAATTACAATGATTTAGGCAGCATTAAATATTAATAAATATTTTAGGTTTTTTTTAAGAGTATAAAATAAAAACAATATTCCTTTGGTGCATATGATAAATATTTACTTTTTGAAGGAAAAAAAAAGAAGCTTGAAATACAATTTAAATGTTATTATATGAATTAACAATAATATATTTTTCCATATTATCTGTAGGTACTCATGTTAGTTCTTCTATCGCTTAAAATGTGTTTATAGAGACTAAATGAACGTCCAACATTAACAGATGTTAGAGGTGCAAACTTCATGTCAGCAACTACACTGGGTGTAAAATGTTCCGGGAGATCTTAATTGTTTCCACATAAATGTTCCCAACTTTTACTAAAACAGTTACCTCAACTGGTAACCTTTATTTTTTGATATAATCGAGACATTTTAGCTTTTATTAAGTTACCCTTTTCACCTGGTTAGCTTGCAGATAATAGTTTGTAAAATCTCCAACGATGACACCAAGTTAAATATTCTAATATATTCTAAACGGACAGAATATTCTCTAACCTATGAAATATTCTCAAATATGTAAACCATTTTTTTACGAACTCAGAATTGAACGAATCGTCCACATTTTTTACTCTCATAAGACTGCATGGACCCCAGTAACGATATGTAATAACATATAAATTCGTTCTTTAATCATAAGCCTTACAGCAGAGTAAGCAAGTCGAGTGTAACCCAAAGAGCCTAGGAGGTCGCGATACAGCAATACTGATGGCGGGCATCGCAAAGAACGTTTTGGGTTTTTAGAAAATCGACCGGTTACCGCGGAGAACGCGCCTCGTTATCACGTTTATCGCCGAATGTCCATCGCAGCTGCTTGTCGGTCGTAATCACCAAACGCGGTTCGACCGGAACAATTCGAGAGATGATCGTACGCGTGAAATCGGTCCCCAGCCGCGTTGTCCGTATTATCCGTTACCCTTCGGTCGTCAGTGACATACGTAACGGGGGTGCTTAACGTTCGAACTCCGTGACGTGTACCCCCGCGAAAGGTTTGGTTGATAGAGTTACAAGTATCGTTGCTGATGGTTTTCCGCGGCACGTAAACGAGTACCTCGTATAAATTGATCAGTATGAAGAAAAACATCCTGAAGAGCAGCGTCGAGAACGCTTCGCTCAACATACTATTGCAGGTCAGTTTCTTGATAACCGATTTACCTTACGTCCGCAACTCGTCTACCGCCGTAATAACCGTAACACTAAAAACCGTTCCACAGATCGCCATCCGTTGCCTGACGTTCGTCATCAACGCGTTCGTGTTACGGCACGTCTCGCAAAACGAAATCGGAATCACCAACGTCCGTCTGCTGTTACTCGAGTCGACGATTTTATTCCTGAGCAGAGAAGCGTTTCGACGGGCTTGTTTAACGGACACGCTGCATCACAATTGGCTCAAAGTCATCAATCTCATCTGGCTCTCGTACGCCATTAACTATAGTTTTGTGTCTAACCACATTGACTTATGTTATTTACATAACTATTTTTTTTGTTTCCTCTTGCAATTTAGAGTTCCAATATGTGCTGTCATTTGTACAGTATGTGGTTATATTTGGTTACGATTACTAAGCCAACCCGATGTTTCTGTAACCGTTTACTATGAATTCGGTGTATGGTCCATTCTTATTAGTTGCATCATCGAACTATGTTGCGAGCAGTTGTATATAGTGTCACAGGCATTTCTATTTGTTAAACTACAGGTATTAACAATTTATTGGATACCGAACATGAGATATTGTTAATATTGGATTCTTTTATACATCTGATTTATTTTTTCTATATTTGGTCATAACTAAAACTATACAGGTTTTAGGTTGTGTTGGAAATAATAAACATTGTCGTTCGCACATTAGTTTATACTTCAATGGTATTGTACTCGGACGGTCAAAATGCTGTTTTGGCATTTTCATTTGCACAACTTGCATCAGTCATAGCATACACAGTATCATTTTACATATATTTTTGGTACTATACTAAACAAAAGAATAAAGATTTTCCATTCAAAACTATGTGGGAGTTTTTTCCAAACTTCAGTGGAAAAGTAAGTTATTTATATGTCCATGCCTTTTATCAATATTTTAAATTAAAATACAATTTTTTTTAGAAATGGTCAGAGTGTGTGGATTTCCCTCTTTTTTTGTTATTGTGGAGCTTTTTGAAACAAGGATTTATGAAACAACTGCTAACTGATGGCGAGCGTTATGTAATGACATTGTTCAATACATTGCAATTCGACCAACAAGGGGTGTATGATGTGGTTAACAATCTTGGATCATTAGCTGCTAGGTTTTTGTTTAAGCCTGTAGAAACTTCTGCATACTTTTATTTCAGTCAACTTGTCCAAAGAGAAGTTTCTATTAAAAAGCAAATTCAACAGGTATTCTTTGAAGACTTAATCTTTTTGATATGGAAAAATAACGACAATGTCTTAGGACTCTAATCGTATAAAAGAAGCAGCTAGTGTTCTGGAATGCTTGTTACGTGTTAACAGTTCTATTGGTCTAACTGTTTTATCTTTCGGACAAGCATATGCTAAGTTGGCATTATTTTTATATGGAGGATCAGCATTAGCTACTGGAATCGGACCAGTATTATTACAATTGCATTGTTTAGCCATTCTGTTTTTAGCCGTTAACGGAATTACTGAATGTTATGCTGCTGCTACCATGAATGTCACTGAATTAAACAAGTTAGTTTGCTATTTTTTTTTATTATCACAAAATATATTTGTATACGATAAGAATGTAATGAATGTATTTTAATGTTTTTTAATATGTAGATACAATATGGAAATGGTTGTATTATCTGTGATATTTTTATTTATATCTTTGTTGTTTTCAACACTATTAGGCGCTATTGGATTTATTTTGGCAAACTGTTGTAATTTCATTTTTAGAATTTTCCAGTGGTAAATAATTTAACATTAATTTAGTATAAACTTATTGATTTTTGTAACGTTTAACTTTTTTAGTGGTCAGTATATTTTGTTGGAATATAAAGATACTAATTACAGTCCATTGAAAGGATTATTGCCAAAGAAATCATTTATCTGTTGTTTAATTTTATCAATTACTGGTACAATGTATTCTGAGGTAAGTTAAATTTTATTAGTAAGAAACCTATCAACATATAATATATTTTTATATACTATATAATTTATTTTAATATAGTATATTGTTTAAGATGATCAGATGAAAAACTTAGACATACTAATCATTCATTTTATTAAAGGCAATTGGATACCAACAGATTTGATGGCCAAACGTTTTTTTGTTTTCTAATAAAATTGATATTATGAGACAAAACAATAAAAATTTTTGAGAAAAGTTGGGGTCACTTTTATTGAATCTTTAAGAATATAAAAAAAAGTAATTAGATTTAAATATTAACTCAATATTTTTATTACTTTAAAATACTGGAAATAGCAAAAGTATGTCTTATTACTTCTACTATATTCAGAGCAGTATTACATTAAATTGACTTGAACATGTATATAAAAAAGTAATCAACTTATTAACTATACTTGGTAAACCAATATTATATAATATTTAGTAGAATATACTTGAATGCAACTCTTTGAAAAAAATTGATATCCAATAGTCTTAATTATTAATGATTTAAAAAAAAAAATGATAAATATTTACTAAATAATATGGATCTGTGTTTATTTTATTTTAGGCAAAATATTATGATGAAAACAAATTTACACATGTTTTAATAGGAGGTGCTATGTTTGTGATAACGATATCTGTCTGGTTGTATGAAGAAATGTCAACCTTTAGGTTCCTATCAAAAGTTTATAGCTCGAAGCACAATTGAAAAACTTTCCAACAATTATTTATTGTTTTTGAAACATTGTTAAAATTAATTATATTTAGTTTTTAATTATTTTATAAACTGAAATATATCATGAATAATCAAAATTATTTATTTTCATTCATCTAAATGTTGATTTACTGTAATACATTTTGATCTGGGGCTTAAAAACCCTAAAAAATATACATAATCACTGAAACAATGTGTGGTCATTCTGGAGAATGAACTATTATGTAAGATTTTACTAATATAATTGATTTTTATTTAAATTGTAACAACGCCAAATTTATAAATGACTCGTTGACTGTACAAATTTGATGGTTTTAGAATGATACTATTTTTGAAGTTTTTCTAGAATATTTTCAAACATAAATATTAATTTTGATCATTAGTATAACACTAAATAAACTTACATATGTAACAGCATCTGGAAAAAGTTGTGGACGAATACAAATTCCCGAATGTTTGGTATACACGGTGTTCGATTTCCCTAAAATTGGCTCATCATGGATATTGAATTTACTTTGCAATGAAGTTGTTTCTATCACACACTCTTCATCTTGTTCATCTTCTGGAAGCATTTCTAAATCGCTTGTGGATTTATACTCATCCAACACGCAACTCGTTTGTTCATTTCCATTAATACCGAATTTTGCATTTGGTGTTGATATATTAGTTATCTTTAAAACTTCTTCGTCAAAAAACATTTTGCCGTAGATAGGAAAATTTTGAGCTGTATTTACAAAGATACATGGCATATCTGTATAAATATCCAATATACGTCCGCTAGGTAAATGCACTAAACTAGAAAAATATTTCAGAATAAACCTGTACTGTTAACACTGTTATAGTGTATTAATTTATAATATGCATGTACCTAGTTGCTAAGTTAAATGCTTTTCGTTCTTTGCCTTTGAATAACTTAAATGTGTGATTGTATCCGTAATCTGGGACTAAAGTAAAAGCTTTTTTCAATAATCTTGGCACACGTAAGTCAAGACATGTATGGTGGACATTTTTAAGAAAACCAAGAGGTATTCGGTCTGGCAATTTTACTGGCACATACTCATCAGCATTAACCATTATTGAATGGTTCAAGATTTCAGACTCTCCAGTGTTCTAGAGTTATGATCCCGTACATGGAGCAGTCAATTTTAAATAAATTATATTATGTAAATTTTAATACATTCTATTCTACATACATGTCCAGCCAAATTGAAAAACATGTTTGTTGAAATATTGACTGGAGTCGATTTTGATGTCATACAAGTATAGTCAACAACTAATTCATTTTTACAAGTAAAATGAAAAATAATCCGTGCTTGTAATGTTCCAGGATAGCCTTCTTCACCATCTATACTTGAATATGTTAACACAAGTTCATTGCCTGCTACATAACCATCCCACAAGACCTTATCGAACCCCTTTTCACCGCCATTGAAATGATGTATTCCATGATTTTTACTTAGTTCATTAATGCTACCATGATCATTAATAAAATTACCATTACTTATATAATCTGTTACTCTGCCTAACGTACATCCAATGTAGTGTTCATTCCGTAATCTATAGTCTATAAAATACATTAGAATAATGATAAAAGTTCACTTAATTTAATGCTCACCTTCAATTGTATCAAAACCAAGTAAAACATCCTCTAATTCACCTAGTGCATTAGGCACCCAACACGAAATAACTGTAGCACCATAATTAATTATTTCGATAAATGCTTTTTGTTCATTTAATAATGTATATTTAGTTACTTTGACATTTTGTCCATTTCCATCCTTAATGAATATTTAGAAACAAACGAGAATATGATAAGCAGTAGAAAAAGTGATTATTTATTTTACTTTTATATAACCATAGTCATCTTCTATAATAATGCTATTTTCAATAATACTTCTCTTCTGGTTTGTTCTAGTTTCATCATTCATATTATTAATTGTATTTGATAAATTAGTCTCAAATAATCTTTCAACAGTATTATTCATTGCACAGTCAAATTAATATTTATTTTGTCTACTGTGTATGATATTATAATAATTACTTAGATTCTAAATGTTAAGTTGTTTATAATTCCAACTATTAAGGCCAATATAAAAACAATAACAACAAAAATATATTTACACATTATAAACTAAAACTTAATTAAAATTTATTTTTTATTAATTATACTTCAAATATTATTTTATCATAATACTTCATTCACTGTCACTGGTATATACTATTTCTTTGATATCATCAAGCGAATCACTATTTTCATTTTCCAATTCAGAGCCTTCATACTCAGTATCATAATCTTCAATTTCTTTTTCATGTTCTTCAACTGCTTTTGTGCTAACATGAACTGATGATTCGATAAACTCAGCAAATCTAAAATATTATTCAAAATGGATGTAAAATTAACACTTAAATTAACTGATATAGAAATATTACTGTTGAGGATTTTTGAGTCTACTTATAACTTTCCATGTATCACAATCAGGACTTTTACAGTATTTTCGTAGTTCTTCAAGAGCCTTAGGTGTTTCAATCAATGATTGTTGGATGTATTCATCTTCAGATAATAATCTTAATTTTGGTTTACTCTTAGGAAATAACCTATAAAACCAAATATATAATATCACTTTATTTTATACAAATTGATTTTTAACTTACCGAAAGGGTAATGAAAACTTAGTGTAATAGAATAAAATACACAGTGTATCTATAAAAACCATGGCTTCTAAATGAAAACTACATAATGTAATCAAAGCCAAACCAATTAACTGAAATATATTAGAAACAAATGTTAATGGTTTTTAATTAGTATACAAATTATTATTATTAATATTGTAATTACCTGTAATGTCCATCTAATAAGGTCAATAGATCTAGGATTTGTGACTGGTCCATATCTATAGCAAATAACAAAACTGACCAACACAGAGAACCCTATGTATCCCAAAATGTATTTATAGTATAATATCAGAATCATATTGAGATTTTCAATCAACATTTGAATAGCATATAAACTCAACATACAACTTGCTCCCAAGTATCCTATCATCATTTTTTTCTAAAAAAAAAATAATAATAAAATATCAAAACATCAAATAAGAAGAAAAAATAAATATAAAATACATACTTTAGGAATTAAACGACTAATAAGTAATATAATAATTATAAATGAAGCAGTGACACCGATTGTAATTCCGCATAAATAGTAAAACAATGAGTTATGACTTAATCGAGATGAATATCCAAATAGAAAAATACCAATAATGAACATACACAATCTCCAACTATCTAAAGCTGTAAAAATAAAAAATGTTTAAAATAAATATTTGCTAACTAAAGGTATAATATTAATTTCAAATATATTAATACAACATGTATTATGACTTACCAATAGAATGAATTCTTAATTTAAAATTAGCATTGGTTTTAATACTAAAACAAGATTTATCAAATGGATTTAATGTGAAAGATTTCTGTTTCCAAAAATATGATATTATTTTGTTTAATGATAATATAGATACATCGGAGAGCATTTGTTCTTCGATTATATCTTGGTTAACTGCTTGGTATATAATGAATTCATCTGTTTTTCCAATCGTTAAATCCACCTGCACAATCAATTATATATAATATATAATTAATAGGAATTTTTCAATAAATTATTTAGTATGCACATACCGTAATCGTTTGAAAAACATTAAGTACACTTTTCTCATTGCCACGATAGCAATATATAGGAGGTAACAAGTATGATTTTTCATTTGGAGAACAACATTCTTTTGAATCATCAGCATTTACTGAATATACTATACCTGTTTACAAATATTAAATGCAAATATAATAAGATAGTATATTTATATTTCAATACATGAGCATTATAATTTAAGACACATATTATTTAAAAATAATTTTAGCAACTTATGAAATAGACATTGATAGAACAAAAATAAATAACGGTTACTTTTGAAAGATTTCTAACAAAATATTTTTTAATATTATATATTTGACTTGGTGTAAGTATCGTTCATACACAATGTAAGAATAATAAAATACTGTAATTACTGTACGAATAATTTTATAATATAATGAGATGAACCAATGATAATTAAAAATATTTAAAATTAAGTACTTTATTTTTGCTAAGCACAAGTTCGGTATTTAATTAAATTATGAAAGAAAGCAATGAAATATCAAATGGTTATTTTTTAAATATCAATAATGATAATAAAATAATGAAGACAATATTACTAGTTAGTATCTCAATAAGTATTATATATTTTTATTGAATATCGTGTATAAACGAATAGTAGAGAATTTATATTTAGTAATGAAATAAAACCAGTGGGCACACTTACTGTTTGGTTTTGAATTTATTAGAGTTACGAATATAAGCAACAAGACAATTATATATAAAGCGTATGGCTTGAAGAACATTTTGAATGAGAAGCACCACGACCACACATTTATAAAGTGTTTAGTGTTTAAATGTGTCAAAAGATATCTTTGTCTAATTTTGAACGTCCATGCAGAATAATAATTCGTAAATGGAACCGGCTAAAAAACAAAAATAGTTTAGTAAGATATCCCATCAGATGCTTATAAATAACGAACTTTAGTTTTAAAACCATAACCTACATAACACGATTTCATGGAGTAAAATTACGCATTATCAATATTTGTGTATTTTATTGATAATGATTTCTATGAAATTCAAAATTCAAATTTTTGTTTGTTATGTTAACTTTTTTAAAATGCCAGTGGACTTACATAGGCTCATACAAGGATGGTTGGAATTAGAAAGCGATCCCGGTTTGTTCACGTTGCTTTTAGAAGACTTTGGAGTGAAAGGCGTTCAGTTAGAAGAGATTTATGACCTTCAAAAACCATTGGACGGTCCTGTTTATGGTTTTATATTTTTGTTCCGATGGATCGAAGAGCGTCGTAGCCGCAGAAAAATCGTTGACCAGACAGACATATTCGTCAAAAGTGACGATGCTATCAACAGTGTATTTTTCGCTCAACAAATGATACCTAACAGCTGTGCTACACATGCCCTACTGTCTGTATTGCTCAATTGTTCAGATATACATCTGGGCGAGACACTAGGGCGTCTTAAGGAACACACCCGGGGTATGAGCCCTGAGAGTAAAGGATGGGCGATTGGTAACATTCCAGAATTAGCGAGAGCACATAATTCCCATGCCATGCCAAAAAGTAGACCACGTATGGACAAAACACCTGGTTTAACAACCGGAAGGTTCACTGGTGAGGCATACCATTTTGTGAGTTATGTGCCGATCAATGGTCATTTATATGAACTAGATGGGTTAAAACCATATCCCATGGACCATGGGCCATGGGCTGAAGATGAGAATTGGACTGAGAAGTTTAGAAGGGTAATAAGTGATCGACTTGGAGCAACAGCCGAGTATAGTGATATACGTTTCAACTTAATGGCAGTTGTACCAGACAAACGATTAGCTATTACCCATAAGTTAACTATGCTCAAGACAAATAGACAAATAGTTTTAGAAGCTTTACAACAACTAGTTTTAGTTGATGACTGTGAACAAAAAAGAAAAAACTTTGAATGCGATCAGTTGCTAAATAAATGTGCTAAAAAAGAAATGTCACCCGTTCCTGGCTCATCAAAAGATTTTAATGAAGAAAAGGTGATATAGATTTTTTCAATCTTCAAGTATTTTGAAATTGTCATAGTATGTATTTTAATTTAAACATACAAATTATTTATCTGTCAACATTTGCATAATGTAATGTTTTCCAATGATGAGATAAGCTTTAACTCAAGGAGTAAGGATTTTAGTCCATCCCTCTTTTCCATTAGATATTTGATCAAACATACAGGATAAATTGTTAGGATACATAATTCTACATATTTTATTAAATTGAATTTAATTAATTAATGTTAAATTACATTTTATATATTATTTATTTAACATTTATTATAATTGAGCGATAATTCTAAGAATAATGAACTGAATTTAAACATATTAACATTAATTATGCGGTTGCCCATTATTATTTTATTTACTTTAGTATTTAATTACTTCTTCTAGAATATTGGTTCCTAACCTATACTATTATATGCTTTCTTTGTTGATTTTCAAAAATCTTGCGCCTCTTCTTATAAATTGAAAAAATCAATCACCTTTTTTTTGTGTACTTTACAAATAAACTATGCATTATTTGGAATGAATACTTTTTTATTGATGATATTAATTATAAAATATAAATAATAGTTAATAATAAAATAGAACTATCAATTAAGATGAAATATTATAGTAATAAATTAGTATAAAATATTAATAATAGTAAATAAAAAAATATTTAATGAAATTAATAATCAATATCAATTTATGTTAATGCTAACAACAATTTTTTTTTTCGGCTCAATATTTGATACAGAACTAATACGGAGAACTTAATTTTTTTTTTCTTTGTGTTTTAAAATAAAAATAATTTAATCAATAAAGATTTTATTTTGTACTAATATCTTGCGCATATCCAGCAATGTGTACAAACCCCCCAGTTTGAGAACCAGTGTTCTAGAGTATGCATCTGCTAAATATTAATTCCTACTCACCTAAACTTCAAAAGAACATCCGTTACTTCAGACAACCTAACTTGCCACTGATGTTGATGTCATTTGAATCTATTATATATATAATTAACCTTGTTGTAGATATAGATTTTAAAATAACAATTTTTCGAAAAACATTAAAAAAAATACTTCAAAACTGCCTGTAGATTATTTTTAATAAAGTAAGAATACAATAATATTCCATTTAAAGTTTTGTTGAGAGTATTACATTTTCCAAATTTGTTCTAAAATATTAAAAATGTTAAAATAAATTATGTTTGTGTTATAAAATCAGTCGACCAAATCTAAAATAAATTTGTACCCAATTAAAGTTTATAATTATTAATTTTTATACCTTTATCAATTCACTTAAAATTGTTTAATTTTTCAGACATGTCCAGAGTCAAATAATATTGTTGTGATACATGTTCAATCTTCAAGTGGTGGATCAGAAGGTGATGGAGATCCAAAAGACATAAAAAGTGTATGTTTAGAAGCAGGAGCTATGCCCAAAGGATGGGAAACACCCTCTAGTCATTCTTCAGATAAAGAAGATAATAATGATCAAAAATTGGAAAACAATATTAAACCTAATCATACTTTTTCTCCCAAAGACTTATTGGCTCTTGTTAAAAATTTAGAAATTGAAATTAACATGAGTGAAGGTAATTTGAATTAAAATATTTAATTTAAATTATTTTAATCAAGCTGTTAATTTATTTTTAGGTATTTTACGAGAGGAAAATGAAAAACGTAATAAATATAGAATTGATGATTGTCGACGTACACATAATTATGATCAATTTATTTGTACGTTTTTAACTATGTTAGCTCAAAAAGGTATATTGCCTGATTTAGTACAACAACATTTGGGCACTCAAAAAAAGAATGCAAGTGCACAACTTTCACTTGCTGTACAATCAAATTCCACAAATCAAACACAAATTAAATCTAAAACCAACAAAACAAATTCAAAAAGTAATACAACTTCTGCTACGACAAGGCTTAGGACAAAACGGAAGACAAATTCTAAAAAAGGACGTAAATCGTGACAGGTCATAATTATCACTCAAGAATATTTTACCTGATCGCTTTACATGATGTATGGTGGAAATTAATCTTGATACCTATTTATTGTTCATTTATGAACTATTGTTGATGATACATCACTTCAATTAACATTGTTATAAGTTTATAATTTTAAAGTACAATAAGCAATATATTACTTGTTAAATGACTTTTGTTATACTAAATTAACTTTCATAATTTAGTTAACAGTAGAGTTGTGAAAAATGCTTTCCAAAAATTAAGTTCAACTGGATAAATTACTTTTAAAAAATTGCTATCAGGTTAGTGATTAAATCAAATTAACCATCAGATTAATTTTGATTAGAATAGTTGAATAACCTATATAAATAAATTTAAATTAGATCTCAAAAATCAAATACTAATTATTTGATTATCGCTTTAATTTATTATGTGGTATTAAAATTTTATAAAGTTTGATTTTTCAAATTTTTTTTACATTCTTAACTTATTATTCTTTCCATTGTATTTTAATTTTGTTCTATCCCAAAGACATATATTTTTTTTAAATTAAAATATATTTATTTTTACAATTTACTGTTATTTGCTTAGATTTAAAATGTTGAGGTAATATGAAAAAAAAAACTGTTGTATATGTAATATTTGTTTTATATTGAAAATACATTTTGAATCAATGAATATTCATCACTCATATTTATTTGTTATTGGTACGTTAATAGTTCAATATCAAATTTCTTTTAGTTATTCTCAAAATTGTTGGAGAAGAAATAATTAAATTTAAGAAAATTTTTGAAAATTTTGAATTTTAAAATTTAAGAATTATTCTTTTGTATGTAAAAATGTTTCAAAAATTAATATGAGGCATATAATTTAATAAGATATTCATAAATTGTGTTTATTTCACAAATTTGCTATTTATTTTTTATAGTTTTACCTAAATTAAAATATTTGATTCCATTGTATACAATTTATTAGGAATTTTTAGTTTGTTACCTTAATTTTATCCTAAATTTCTTTATCATCAATTCTAATATAATATTTATACTGGTCATTAAGTTATAATTTATAAAGTAAAATTTAAAGGATATACATTGTTACTTTTAATGAATAAGATTCATGATTGGAGAAAAAAAATATTAAAAGAACTGTTAAGTAAAATATTTTTTTTACTAACAAAAAAAATATTTAATAATAAATTAAGAAAAAATATATTTATATTGACATTTAAAATTTTTAAAAATGTCTTTAAATTGTCAAGAACAATTATTGTCTTTCACAAAAAATCATTAAAAAAATTAAAAATTACATTTGTTTAATTAATAATTATTGGTGCCTTACAAATGAGTGTATACAAAAAATTCGCTCACTGTCAGTATCTTAAACTTAAGTATACCTAAATTAGAGGTCTATAATATGTGATAAATTTTGCTCCTTTATTAAATTAAAATTATTTCTAAATTGTTATCTTTATTTAATTTTTATATTAAATTTTGATTTCTTTTAAAATATTAATTTAGTATAAGATGATGTTAATATCATACATTTATGTGAATAAAAAACTGTCAGAAACAACAACTTTGCTTTACGCTGTATAATTTCATTGCCTTTCTTACTTGCTGATTAACAAATATTTAGGGTTTTAATCATTAATAATAACTGCTATGCCATCATGTCAAAACTAAGTTTTGTTAAAAATGTAGTTTATTGATTCAAAAAAAGAAGTATGAAATCAAGAAAGATTTATAATAAAATATAATATTTTCTTTTTTTTGTAACCAATTTATAACAACAATTTATCTATGAAAGGTAAGTAACTTGTGTTTGCCTAATGTATGGTATGATCCAGGTGATATTAGAGACGAATTATTTTCATATGTACATTAGATAATTGTGTTAAGATCTAATACTAATACTATATTTTCTAATTTTTATTTTATCCCTAATGGATATTACTGTATTCTATAACTTTATTTTTATTTTTAAGTCGAAATATACAATCTGTATCGTTTGACACAATACATATATATAATATATGAAACAATAGCATAAATACAAATATTGAATTGAAAAGCCACCCAATGATGGCACTTAATATTGATTCTTAGGTTGTAATTAGAGTTCATTTATTTACAAAGGCGTATTTGAGGAGAGGTGAAGGAAGCATTCGCCCCCCCCCGTGGCTCGTATATTTTTTGAATATAATACATTGATTTATTTAAAAAATGTAATGTATAAATAATTAGGAATATAAATTACTAGTCTATCATTATAATATGTTAATAAATTCAATAATATATCAATTTGGTCAAGGGTATTAATTTTTGTTTATCTTCTTATATCATAACTAAAGACCGGATTTAATTGATATTGTAACTTTTTATTGACACCGGATAAATCAAATCTGATTAAATATCTATACGAATCGGATTAATTACAATCTTCCTACTTAATTTAATAATGCAATTTTTTGCAATTTTCAACGATTTTGCAATTATTATAATTTTGTAAACTTCGTTTGATAAAATATACAAATTATTATTTCTAAAATAATTTTAAAATAAAACTATAACTAAGTACGACGTAAATTTTTAAATGTATTTAAATATATTTTAGCATTTTTAAATTATATTTATCTGAGTTATCCACAAAACTCACTAGTTTAGATTTATCAAATAATCAATTACTTAATAGTGTAAACATATTTAGTGAAATTGAAAATATTTCGATAAATATTCCCGATCCTAATAGTTAAAAATAAATTATAATAAGCCTTAGAAAAAAATGAAAGATACAAAACAATTAAAACTTACTCTAAGGTTATAACAGGAAATCAAAGTGTTAATTTAGGTATAACCAATTTTTTTAAATTATTTTAAATATGCATCGATAACAAGTGTAGATGTTGAACATACTGGTATTATCTTCCACGGATATTGCTACAGTTATAGACATTTAAAACCATAACCGAGGTGTTTATCAGATAATATAAAGTAATTTAAAGTAACACATTTTACCACATATTTACTAGTTAGTGATTTTTTTGTGCATTTATACATAGATTTTTTTGTGCATTTATACATATTGTATATTTTTGTATTTATTAAAGCTATATAAGTCCTTAATAATTTTATTCTCCCATTTTTTTTTTTTTTACAACATAATATCTGGTACTTTTTGTTGTGCATAGGTATTTAGTCATTTTTTTTTGTGCACAAATGCATGCATATTTGTGTAATTTATAGAGCTATAAGCCCCTAATCTAAATAATTATAATAACTAACAATATTTGTTTCCATATTCTTTAACTTGCAAATATTGGCCAAAAATATATTTTGGTAAATTTAAAACATGGTTTAGATCAAGAATAGGCCAGCATAGACTAACAGGTTTGACTTTGCTGCATATGCATAAAAATATTATTGTATCCATTGATGAAACAATCAACAAATTTTCCAAAATTAAAAATGGAAATTTGAAATTTTTTATTTGACTACTTGCCAACCTTATGTTTTCTACTTAGATATGGCAATCGCCGAATTCCGTCCCAGGTTGCTGAAAATGACCGAATTCCGTCCCGGAGGCGGAGCAACTACGTCCGACTTCCGTCCCGACTAGTCTTGGACGGTATTAATTTAAGTTTAATTTTATAGAACTTCAAGAGGCTTCACCTGACATCACGCGTATCGTTTTTTTGTATTATCACAATTATTCGCAATAAAAACGTAAACGATTTATATACTATGTATTGTGTATACCAAAGTCAGGTGTCGTCTAAGTTTTTACCAGCCTATTTCAAATCTAAAAAAAAATAATTAAAAAAAAAAATAATAATAATTTAAATAATAAATAATTTAAATACTAATTACACATAACATATATTATACTTATACTCTTAAATTTATTAAAATACTTATATGACTGTCATATTTACACATAAATGGCATATACTGTAAGTGGAGTTTTTTTTGGCTCCGTATGTCAATAATAAATAAAGAAGGCTGTTTTGCCGGATTTTACATTTTTAAATATGCCAGTAAAGCTGCCAGTCCTAAGCCTAGAGAAAATGTGAAGGAAAATATTACTGCCAAATATATCATAGTTACAGGTAGTAGGACGGAATTCAGACATAGTTGCTCCGCCTCCGGGACGGAATTCGGTCTTCAGTTATGGAACCATAGGGGGCCCGGGACGGAATTCGATACCAGCCTTAGATATTTGTTAAATTAAGTTACCTATCTTACTTGGTTTTTAAATTTTTTAAAGAATAATTAATAGGTATTGTTACTACTATGATTATTTGTTGTTTTTTTTATACAGGATTCAGACTGAAGGTACAATTTTAATATAAGAACTACTTACTTGTGTTGTTATTATTAATACTTATTTTATATGCAGTAGGTTTTAAATATATTTATTAAATAAATATTTAATTCAATTTGGTACTTGTATTTTTATTTATTCACTCAAATGAACAACAGGGACATGAACTGTAGATAATGAACCAGGGGCGTACCCAGGAATTTTTTAGGGGGGTCCAACATTTTTATTTTATCTGTTCTCTAATTATAATTATTGTTAAATTTGATACCAACAAATTATTTTTAATAATTATAGTAATAGTCACTGTAATTATATACACATTATACATATTCTTCATAAAGGTTTACTATAATAGGTAGATAATAGATACTATAATTTGAAATAAATTTTTATTTGATACTAAAATGTTATAAAAAAAAATACATTATTTAATTAACAATAATAAATAATAATAAAAAAGCAGTATAAATTAAAAATGTTTTATACATTATACGTATAGGTATATTATAAAATCTATAAACTTTGTATATTGAAGATAATGGGAAATTAAAATACATTATGTACTATTTACTATTAAACCATTGAGTATGTAGAAATTTCAATGGGGGCGTGCCCAGGAGTCCGGACCCAAACCCCCACCCTGGGTATGCCTCTGTAATGAACTGTAAATTATTTTTTAGTTTATGTCGAAGAAAAATTAGTTTCGCCCTCCTCCCATGGCCTCAACTCGAATACGCCCTTGTTTATTTAGACATATATATATATATTTTTTTTTTATTATTATTGTAATAGATCTCTGCACCATTTGCATTTTAAACGTCTTGGAGGACTGCCCAGGATCGTTTGAGAGGAAAGGTTTTTGATCAAGGGATTTGAATGAGAGGAAAGACGGTCGTGAAATCGTTTATAAAAAAATTTGTTTTCTTCTTGAATTGTTTTTATTTTAAGGTCTGTGTGATATTAGGGGAGGTGTGTTTGTTAG